TTTTTTTTTTTTTTGACAGAGAAATGGAACATATTACCAAAGTCTCAAATAATGATTTTTTTTTTGTAAGCCATAATTGTTACCATTTAATTAGAAAAATAGAAAAATTGGCAAGTAATTTTGTAAATTCTGGGTCAGAATGAGGAAGAAAAGTGTTTTTGATAATCCATATATAATGCAAATAATTATTTTATTTCATGAATTTAATTGTTGGGCTATAATTAAATGATCTAGGTGGCACTTATAGCAGAATTTTAAATGTAGTATCCTGCTTAGATTTCCAGCTGTAAAACTGAAGCAGCCTGGGGAATTTTCAACCATAGAGACTAATTCTAATTGATTCCAGTCCTTAAAATGCAATGGTTTGCAAATTAATTCCTCATAGTAAATGAAGTCTACACTGATATGTGTGTTTTGTGAAATTAATCCCATGCTTGGCTTTTAAAGCATTAAATAGTCAATTATAGTAGGTTGATATTTTTATAAAGATATTTTTCCACTATAAAAAATGAAGTTTTTAGTTGCACAAATTTCTTCTTACATAATGACTTAGTAGCTTTTTGTCTTAACTGCATTTTGAACTATTAAATTGTAAAAAGTAGATCTTGTTTTAGTATCAAAAGAAAACTTAAATGCCACTTTCTCAAAATACCAGGTGTTTAGAGCAAGGATTAACATGTCTCTGTTTACCTCAGAGCCAACATAGAAGTCTCAGAAAGTTCTCAAAACAAAATTAATATTATTTACATTTCTTTTAACAATCAATAACATCAGTTTTGAGGGATTACAAATTAAAATGTTATAAATCAAATAATTTGCAAAAAATATTGGTAGTTAACTGTTTAGAAATACACGCCAAGTTTGAAAATAGTAAATAAAGTCTACTTGCTTTTTCTTTGGTTGTTTTAGGTCCCTTGTAGCTAATCTTGCTGCTGCCAATTGTTATAAAAAGGAAAAACATCTTGATCTGGAGAAAAACTGGATGTTGGTAGAAAAAGCAAGAGTTTGTTATATAGCTGTAAGTATTTGCCTACTTCAAATTTCTGGTACATATTAACATGATAGATTATAGTTTTATGACATAGATTTTTTTAATTGTCTTTTATTTATCCTGCAAATTATTTACCCATCTTAAAGCATTTGTTAGATTCACTATTGTAAATACAGAACAGAAATATGATCTTTCTATGGGTAATGTAATTTATATTTACCTTTGAGTCTACCCCATTTTAGATACATTATGTATAGATGCTTCTCAGCTGACTGCAGAAGTCTGTATAAAATCAATTTCTTCAGATATTTTCTAATAATTCTACAAACTTACATTTTATATTTTTAGGCAACTTGTGAATGACACATGCATTGTGTGGGAAAATATTAGTAGTATAAATATTCACTGCAAAGAGTTTGAGCTTATTTGCCTAAAAAATCTTAATTGCTATTTATTCCATAATAATTACCATGACACCTTTTAATTTAATATTTCACAAACATTGATCATGACAAATCTCTTAAATCTGGGAATAAGGGCAGCATGTAATTTGAATTATTAAGTCTTCTGACATAAAAATAATTGGTTAAATGGGTTCTTACAGTCCCATTTTTAAAATAGGACTGTACTAAATACCTACCAAATTAACCACCTCACAATTACCTTGTTTTTATTTAATATGTGTTAAATGTGGCTGATCATAAATAAGTAGATATCCATGAAAAATTAAAAACATCTCATATGCATATAATATATGGTTTTGGCATAACAGCTGCTGCCATTTCACTACCTGAGCTGTGTGAAACAGCTGGTGAGACGTGTAAAAAATTGATTATCCAGTAGGAACGTGTTTATTGAAAATATAATTATTTCTTTCAGTCTAATGTTAACGTCTCCTACAGCTTGTTTATGTGCACTGCTGTAGACTTTACAACATTGTTATTGATTCCTCTGTATACCAAATCCTACCCCTTTATAACTGTCAAATACATGCTTACATTGAGAAGATTATATAATGAAAAGTCATGCTATCTATCTCTATTTTCCAGTATGTGAGAAAAACATTTCAAGAATTAAAGATTTTTTACCTCTTTATTATTTCCATTTAATTTATTTCTCAAAATGGTCTCATTTGTGTCTCAGTTTTCAAGTCTTGGTAGTGTATTTTTGTGATGTGATTCTTTAGGAGGGATTTAGGTACTGTTTCAGATGATCTTATATTTGACAGTCTGTGTTCCAAGGAGCACATGGTTTAAAGTTTGGCATAACTTAGGTATATTATTATCATTGACTATGAAATATGACAATATACTCTGAGGAAAAAGTATGTTTAACCTGACAACTACACTTCTATGTATTTCAATATACAGTAGTTCAATCCTGAATTATGAGCCAGCTTGCAAATAATTCATCATTTTAATGGTTATACGGTATAATGCATCTAGCCAACTTTGGGGCATGGAATTTTTATAGAAGTATAGACCCAACTTGCAAACAATTCATAGTTTTAACAATTATGTAGTATAACACATCTAGCCAAATTTGGATGAATAGAGTTTTTATAATAGTATTAAATATTTATAGTAAAGTACATTTTTGTATAAGGCATAAAGTAATCAGTTTTAGTCAAATTAATAAGGAAAATGGGATTATTTTTGAGACTTGGGTGGTATATTCAGCCAGAATAAATATCAAAATGGATGCCAGTTGATACCTCTGTTGGCAGCTGTTAGCTCTTAGCTTCTATTTCAGCAATTTCATAGAAAGAATGCTCTTTCACATTGCCAGGTAAATTTATTCTCTGCTCATAGCTTGGCTTATTTCAAAATACTTCTGAAAATAGCATTCTCATATTGGATACCTGGGATGCTCTACATTCTTAGTCAACATTCAACAAATGTTTATTTGGCTAGTAACTAAAAACATAATTGTTACTCGTTAAAAATCTGTGAACCCTCTTTTGAAATGTAATGCTGTTTTCACTAAGACATTCTGCAGGTTTTTAAAGTCTTTAATTCCCTTTGAGTTCAGAGCATTCAGAAATGAGATGTAGTACAGTCTTTTCTCAGCATATGCGCAAACCTCAAACTAAATGGGTTGCGCCATACTTTCAGGTTCTATTGGGTCGGCATTCTCCTGAAATTATCATCATACACTAATGAGGTTTAACAAGTTAAAAATTTGGGAACTCTTTAATTCTAAAAAGTTCTGGATCTAAGAAACTTACTTTATTCAACAAATTTCTATAATTAAGACATCTCTCTGCATTACATAGATTACATGGATCTACATACTGAGCTCTACTTCTTCCCACTATTTCATGAACTAGCAATAGTCATGAGCATTAAGAAAATTCAAAATCTTGAATGCAATGAATGAGTTCATATCATAAACCTTCCTGATAAAAAGCTGAAATTGTATATAAAATACCAGTGTCCTCTGTTGATTTAAGTAAAATGTTGAAATCTTTTTAGTTTAATTTTATTTTTTTTACCTTTCATAGCAAGTGTCCCATTTATGCAGTGTAAACTCAGTTTTTCTATGTTTAAACCAAATTCTCAGATTCCTTGTTAGTAGGTAATTAGGGAATACTAATTGTGGTGACTAGCTAATTATGGTTTTAAAAACATAAATCTCAGGTACTCTTCACCTTAGAATCAGATTGGGATATATATCTGTTTCTTCTTACTCAAGAAATAATATTTCTAAAATTAGACCTTTGACTGATATTTAGGAAAGACCTATGAAAAGGATTAGGAAATTGGAGCCATTAATTTTTCTAAACTGTTTCCTTTTTAAGCTATATTAGTCAGCTTTGACAAATGAGAAAATTAGCACTCATTGTTTCGTACTGTTTCTTACATTTTGGTAGTTATATTTTTAGGTTTTTTTTGCATTTTTAGGTATTTAAACATTTGTATTTTATTCTGTAACCATAATTCTTACAGTCTTAATTCTATATTTAAATGAGTTAAGTGCTTACCAACAATTATTTTATCACTGTTTTCCCATTCTTTTATTGCTTATTTTGATTATCTCTCAGTTGGCTACATCTTGTCATCAAACTATTTTTGTTTGCAGAAAGGACTCAGAATGCCTCCCTTCTTGAGTATTTACATCCAGTTGCTTTTACATAAATGACAACTTGTTTGGTGTAGTATTTTGCAATGCAAAATACTTTGTAAACATTACCTCATGGACTTCTAGCACTTCTTCTGGAAAACCTAAACCCAGATTGTTTTTTTGTTTTTGTTTTTTTTTGAGACAAGAGTCTCACTCTGTTGCCTGGGCTAGAGTGCCGTGGTGTCCGCCTAGCTCACAGCAATCTCAAACTCCTGGGCTCAAGCGATCCTCCTGCCTCAGCCTCCCGAGTAGCTGGGACTACAGGCATGTGCCACCATGCCCGGCTAATTTTTTTCTATATATTTTTAGTTGTCCGATTAATTTCTTTCTTGTTTTAGTAGAGACGGGGTCTCGCTCTTGCTCAGGCTGGTCTCGAACTCCTGACCTTGAGCGATCTGCCCGCCTTGGCCTCCCAGAGTGCTAGGATTACAGGCGTGAGCCACCGCACCAGCCCAGATTGATTTTTATTTCTGTTCTTTATTATTTCCTTTTTTCTACTTTGGATTTCATTTGTTGTTATTCATCTTCTCCTTCTTATTCTTCTTCCCCACCACCCCACCCCATTCCTTTGGTTTGCTTTTTAAGGTGGAAAAATAATTCATTGATTCATGACTTTTTTCCTACTATAGATACTGAGTGCTATAAATTTCTAAGTATTAATTTGGCTGCATCCCACAAATTTTGCTGTCATGTTTTCATTTTCATTCAGTTTGAAATACTTTCTAATTTCTTTTTATTTCTTCTTTGAATCATGAGTTATTTATATATCTGTTGTTTAATTTTTAGATATGGGGATTTTCCAGGATCTTCCTCTGACTATAATTGTAGATTGGTATATCCTCCCTGAAATTCTATCAGTTTTTACTTAATATATGTTGAAACTCCTATTAGGTGGACAAAGTCTAGGGTTGATTATCATTTTGAAATATATATCCCTGATAATATACTTTGCCCTGAAATCTACTTTGTCTGATACATTTTTTTAAATGCAACATGCCAATTTTATTTAACAAAGTAACAGGTAAAGTCGAATAGGCATTTGTATTAAGAGAAAAATTGACTAGAAGAAATTTTATCTTAAACACCCTACAGTAATCTACTTGCAGCTACATTTAACTGAGCTCTGTTGCTGTGACAAATACAGCTCATACAGGTATGGATGAATGATTGGTACATGTTTCCAGTATTTTCATTACTGAATACTACCTTATATACATATATACATTAAATTTGAAAAAGATTTAATTGAAGATCCCAGGTATACTTCATTTTTGTTGATCTTTTGGAAGAGGTTGTCTAAAAAGAAGAATATGCAGTTCTGGTTCATGAATCATGTAATGAATGCAGCCTAGCCTCTGTTGGACACCGAGTCTCCGCCACTCCTCTTCAGACATCAAATGGGTTTTGGGTACTTGTTTGGAAAGTTCTCTGGATAACATGACATGCCAGTACTCATAGTGTTGGCTGAAGTCCTTGTTGAGTAGTATTAATAGATCTGCTTTGTGGGCCATCCTGCTGGTATGCAGCAGAGTTGGGGAATGAGAGCACAAAGAGAGGGCATGACAAACAGCATGTCTGTATGTGGCTAAGGAAACGATTTGACTGAGCCTTGTCTGATATTAAT